TTGAGAGAGAGCGATGAAGCGTTGTGATTGGAGCTCCCTCGAGCCAGTGGTACCAGCTCGTGGTGAAAAAAAAACTACCGACGATGTTGCCACTTTTTCGCATGGATTAATATTTTTTCATTTATTAAAAAAAACAATCTGAACACCATTCAATGCGTGGAACAGATACAAATAAATTTGATAAGCTCTAAAAATAATTTTTAACCGGAGATACTCCCTAATATTGCCTGAATTTTGAATCCGAATGCGAAAAATTTTTTTGTTCAGCGATTGATTTTCTGCAGGAAAACAATAAAAACCCCTCCGCCTCACCTCCTACCTTTCCTCCTCGCCCGATTATCCTTGATAGCTCAATAGCTCAATGGGTAGAGCACCTGTCCGGCAAACAGAAAATGTGGGATCATACCCCACTTCTTTTCGAGCCCGTATGCCTCCGAATTTTTTAATTTGTGTATTGTTAATTATTTAATTATTTCCCTCATATAGAAGTCCGGAAAGTCAATGGATAGCAAGTAGCATCCCGCTTTTCAAGTAATTTATGGCTTAAAAACATCTAAGGTNGAACAATGAACAATTAAACCCAGATTATTTTACATGGTCAACCTTAGATGTTTTTAAGGCACAAATTACTTAAGGATAATCGAGCGAGCCCGGAGGGTTAGAAAAAAAGCAGCCATTTTTTTAAAAGTATTCTTTAAATGATGGAAAAGGCATGTGCAAAGTTTCAGACTGCTGGGGAGCATGGTTAATTTATTATGAATTTTTGAAAAAGTGGTCATTTAACCCGTGATCTTATGGAAATCACAAAAAAACTGTAAAACCCAAGGAAAAAATGCAGCCAAAGTCATGAAACTTTAGACACATTTAGAACATGTGATCAATGATTTTTTGAATGAAAAAGATCGCCTGGGAGCATTGTTTATTAATAATTGCGAAAAAAGTACTGAAAAATGACATTTCTGCGCACGCAGCCCATACGAGCAGCAACGTCCCAAGTACCGATCGGGTGGGGGTAACGCGGTAAATTTAAACGTCTCTTGAGAGAGAGCGATGAAGCGTTGTGATTGGAGCTCCCTCGAGCCAGTGGTACCAGCTCGTGGTGAAAAAAAAACTACCGACGATGTTGCCACTTTTTCGCATGGATTAATATTTTTTCATTTATTAAAAAAAACAATCTGAACACCATTCAATGCGTGGAACAGATACAAATAAATTTGATAAGCTCTAAAAATAATTTTTAACCGGAGATACTCCCTAATATTGCCTGAATTTTGAATCCGAATGCGAAAAATTTTTTTGTTCAGCGATTGATTTTCTGCAGGAAAACAATAAAAACCCCTCCGCCTCACCTCCTACCTTTCCTCCTCGCCCGATTATCCTTGATAGCTCAATAGCTCAATGGGTAGAGCACCTGTCCGGCAAACAGAAAATGTGGGATCATACCCCACTTCTTTTCGAGCCCGTATGCCTCCGAATTTTTTAATTTGTGTATTGTTAATTATTTAATTATTTCCCTCATATAGAAGTCCGGAAAGTCAATGGATAGCAAGTAGCATCCCGCTTTTCAAGTAATTTATGGCTTAAAAACATCTAAGGTTGACCGTGTAAAATAGCGCTGGGATAATATAGATATTCAATATACCGGTCGTAAAATCTCTTTCTTTGTGAATAAACAATTAATTTTTTTGCACTTATTATTCGTTTTTAGACATATATATATAATCGATCTTCAATGTATAAGAAATCTCATTCGAATAGCCCGCAACTTTAAAACTCATAGTAGTCTCCCCTTAATCCGCAAATATTCATAGAATATTCATCAACCGAAGTGGACCTGTCTCTCATTGCACTTCATTGTTGAAACTAACTCTAAGCAGTATTTCTGATCGATGTCTTCGAATCTGTGACAGATCAACCAACTCTTAAAAGATCCCGATATAAACTTCATCAACTGCTCTAATTTTTATAATATCTTTTTAGAATAGGATTGTAAATCAAAAAGGCCGGTTTCTGCAGGAATTGAGTAATATAAATTGACACACATTTCGATATTTTCAAACCAGAAACATACCTACCCCTACCCCTTTCTAATATCATTTAAATTACCTCGACATTTATCAATTTCATTAATCAAACTTGACCAATCACTTATTTCACCTGACTATTGAAAGAATCCTCGGGAAGAAGTTCTTATGAATATCTCCGAATCTCTGAAAGGTGGGCTAATGCTCATGAGGACCTTTTCTACAGTTCTCATTTAAGTCGATAAATATATCCTCATGGGAACTTCATCATCTCTCTTGGATTCAAAGATATTCACCATCAAAGTAGATCAGTTTCCGTAAAATTAAAAAGTGAAAATCGACACACTTAAATGTTTTTAATCAACGAACATATCTACTCTCTTTCTAATCACACTTAGAGTGGTTACCTTGAACGATATATACAGTTGCCCCTTTCCCCCGATCATACTCGAGAACTACTTTCTATCAAGGACTCAATATCCGTTCTGGCCGATCCATTAATATCAGACACATTTCAGCCATTCCACTGTTCGTACCAACGTTCTTACCTCTCTTCTTCGTCACTTCGCATTCAACTAATAAAACCCAAAAGCAAGTGTGTGAACTGACTCTTTTAACATTTATTTTTATTTTTAGGTGCTTATTAAAAGCTAGGAGAAATTAAATTTTTCAGGAGAAATTAAGGCAAAAATTACCGTGCCCTCTGGTAAAGTGGTAAAGTTCAATTGTCTAGCAAGGCATTTTAAGCTAGCACAGCCAAATCAGCATAATCAAAAGATCTTGAATGCATTTAAAAACTTACGTTTGTTGCTCATTTGTTGCGTAAAAAAAATGTTTTTGCTCTTACAGTTTTTTTTAATTTAGCTGGCTGTGCCAGCTTTTTAAAAGCTAGCACCGCCAATATATAAATCGCAATACCAATTGAATGGGGGAAGCGTACAAATTCCGAAAATCTATAAATATAAGCAACAAATGAGTCTCGAGTATGTACACCCCTAAAATTATAAAAATTTCGCAGTTCAATAATAATAAAAAAAAACTATTGAGTAAGATCAGGTGTACAAACTTTAAAAATTATCCAACAAAAAAGCTGTACAAACTTCGAAATGAGGTCTCCCCTGACGTACGGACCCTTGCGAAGTTTGTACACCCCCTCGCAAGGATGGACTCACTCGTTTTCCAAATGAATCTAATTGAAAATTTGATTTCGAAAACTGGCTCGATTACCATGCAGCAGCGGTAGGTGTACAAACTTTCAAATGAGGTCTGCCCTGAAGTGAGGGCCGTTACGAGATTTGCACACCTCCAGAGAGCGATAAACACACTACTTTTATAAATTAATCCAATTGAATATTTTCGTTTGAACACTACCTTGTTCACTAAACAACAGGGATTGCTGTACAAACTTCAAAACGAGGTCCGCCCTGAAGGGAAGGCCCTTGTAAAGTTTGTACATCCTTCCTGAGTGGACGAGTCACCATTTCCATTAACGAGGCTAACCTGACTTTTCCCGTGGAACACTGTTTTATTCGCTAAGCGGAAAGGGCAGGTGTACAAATCTTGAAATGAAGTTCGCGTTGAAGTAACGACCATTGCGAAGTTTGTACACTCTCTCGTGAGGAAGAAATTGACTCCGTTTCCAGAAAAATCCGAATGGATATTTTTGTTGGAAAACTGTCTTGTGCGCCAAATAACAAGGATAGGTTTACAAACTTTAAAATGGGGTCTGCCCTGAAGTGCGGGCCCTTACGAAGTTTGTACATCGTCCGGGAGCGAGAAACACTACTTTTACAAACTAGTTCAATTGAATATTTTCGTTTGAACACTGTCTTGTTCACTAAACAGCAGAGGTTGCTGTATAAACTTCAAAATGACGTTCGCCCTGAAGGGAAGGCCCTTGTAAAGTTTATACACCCTTCCTGAGTGGACGAGTCACCATTTCCGTTAATGATTTGACGATTTGATTTTTTTGGAAAAGGAATCAATTCCGTCCTTACGAGAGAGTGTACAAACTTCGCAAGGGTCGTTACTTCAACGCGAACTTCATTCCAAGGTTTGTACACCTGCCCTTTCCGCTTAGCGAACAAAACAGTGTTCCACGAGAAATGTCAGGTTAGCCTCGTTAACGGAAATGGTGACTCATCCACTCAGGAAGGGTGCACATACTATACAAGGGCCTTCCCTTCAGCGCTGACGTCATTTTGAAGTTTGTACAGCAACCCCTGCTGTTTAGTGAATAAAGGCAGTGTTCAAACGAAAATATTCAATTGGACTAGTTTGTAAAAGTAGTGTGTTTCTCGCTCCCGGAAGGTGTATAAACTTCGCAAGGGCCGGCACTTCAGGGCAAACCCCATTTCGAAATTTGTACACCTACCCTTGTTGTTTGTCCAACAAGATAGTTTTCCAACAAAAATATTCATTTGGATTTTTCTGGAAAAGGTTTTAGGTGACTCTGGGCGCTTCAAGTGACCAGCCGCGCATATTCTATTCTATTCTATTCTATTCTATTCTTCTGGAAAAGGAGTCAATTGCTTCCTCACGAGAGAATGTACAAACTTCGCAAGGGTCGCTACATGACTCGTGCAACAGTACTTTTTCCTACTCTTTGCGGTACATTTCGCCTGGAAAGACCATCTGAACCCACTTTACAGTGCGAGCACGGTAATTTTTCTCGTACATTTCTCTCCGTGTATTGAAATAGTACATTACATGCCCGAGCCTTGGAAATAGATCACCGTCCCTCACGTGCAAGATTGCCTTCCGAGCCGAAGGCGAGGATGGCAAGCACGTGGGGGAGGGTGATATGTTTTCCATGGCGAGGTGTGTATATTAATTTTCGTGTCGAGGGACCTGCGCGCCACGAAATTGGCGTTTTTCATGTCCCGTGACACGAAAAAAAATCTCGCTTATTTACCCCTGAATTTCACCATTTCAAATAGAAATACTCATATCTCTTTTTATTTCGTATTTTTTCAGGCGAGGCCTGTTGAATTGGACCAACCACGAAGACTTGAGAATCTGCAAAAGCTCGACGAGCTCAAAAAACATCTGATGGACCTCGAAAAACAGGTGAAGTTTTCAAGGAAGTCTTTCCGCATTTAGAATATAAACTTTTTTGATGATTTTTTTGGGATGAGAACATCATTATAAGTTGCTTTTGGCGTTGTCCTAGTGAATGAAAAAAAATCCGTTGAATTTTTGTCCTCTCCGGCTCGACCGGAGCACTTCTGATAATATGAAAATATATTCTCGGTCTCTAACTTTTTCATTTTTGCTGAAGTTGATTTGAGAGAGAAAATGGTAAAACCTACTGAATAATCTCAATCTCAGTGTTTTTTCTAATAAGCATCTCCGAATCTGGGGGAGCTACTGGAAATTTTCCAGAAAGAATCGACGTGAAAAATCTTTTTTTTTATAGGAGAGAAACGACAACTACAAGTTATGTCTCCACAAATATTTTAGTTTTACACTTTGATTCCAAGATAATATTTTCTGAAAACAGATCTTGAACAGAAGTTTACTCAACCTGTTTCATAAATTCTCGTCTGATATGATCTTATTTTAGTTCATATTTTGATTGTGTTGTAATAATCTTATTATTTAGAAGTATTTTCTTAGTCCTTATTTTCGTCTTCTAAAATGAGTTTGAACAATTCAACTTCAGGGTGAATGGTAAATATGCATTAATCTGAGGGAGATAGCGAGATTTTGCAGCAAGAACTTTTTTTTATAAAAAATTTTCGCTTTAGACTTCTGAGATATTTTTTAGAAACTGTGAACAGGCCAATTGTTACACGATTAAGAGAAATTCGAGTTTCGTGGTAGGATCTAAAATAAAAGAACCACCTAAATGGGGATATGATGGCTTTTATACATTCAAGAATGTTTTCATTAACAGAAAAAAATGATTTGAAGTAAAAATAACAAACCAAAGAGTAATTAAATTAAGCAGCCGAAACCCCTAATTTTTGGACAACTGGGCCATTTTTTTGGTTTATTAAATGTCAATTAATAGAAAAAATACTTGATCACATGATCATACACGAGTAATATTATTGAAAGGTGAAATAATCAGTTATAATACCCCGAGTCGGAAATACTCGATTAATTTTCAAGCATGAGGGGTATTCAGCGGATTATTCCCCCCATTCAAATTTCGATCAATGGGAGCTGGGATTTAAGATTTTCGTGGTATAACAAATGATTTTTTATTTAATATTCAGTTAGTTTCATCGTGATACAATTCAGTGCAAGGAAAAATGGAAAGACAAATTATTGATGCATATGCAAATTTGTGCAGTTAAAAATACAATTATTATAATGTGAGCAGGCTAGTCAGGAAAGGGGGGAATAGCATTTGTAGGTGCAGGTACAATATTCTGCTCATTTGAGGGGCCATCTCGACGCATCCGTTTTACGAGCTGTGCATGGTGTTTTTCGTCTAGTTGGAGATATGGTTTGATGGAGCTGACGTTGGAGTGACCAGTGATCTTGACGATTTGCTGCTCCCCAACACCAGCTTTTGCCAAGTTGGATACTGCAGTTGGTCGATTCGAGAGATTGGTGATTTTTTTACCTTGAGTGTCCAACCCTGCTTTCTAGGCAGCCTCATTGATCCATGTCCCCAGCAAATTTTTTCCAACAGGAGCATCCTTGTACCACCCGATGCTGTCTGGGCTTTTCCAATGGGGATTGACGTTTAGAAATAACCTCTCCGTCTTGACATTACTGCCTCTTTTTGACTTGAGCTTTTTCAGCAGTCGCACCGGGCAGTTCTGCGGATTTTCATCATTCGGGATGAGCCATTTGCTGCTCGCACACTTCTTATCACCTCCCTGGGTAATTTAGGTGAATATGGTATTATATTCAATCCCGCCTGTGTTCCTGCCATCAGTTCCAGTTTCATCTTTGAAGTGGTGTGTCGTGGCAGAGGCTCCTTCCCCTCCTCTCCAAGCCAACTCTACCGATACAAGAATAAATAATTTTTTCTGGAATCCATCTGGTGTTTCTTCATCGTAGCAATTCACCATCGCATCAATGTCGGTTTTCTCTAAGGCTGTTGCATGTGATGTCAGATCCCACGCTCCTATTGATCGAGATTTGAATCGGGGGGATAGAATAGCATAGAATAGAATATTCCCAGCCGGTCACTTAAAGCGCCCAGAGTCACCTAAATCATACGATCTTTTGTAACATCCGCCTTAGTTTCGGTCAGTCACACAGCCCCAGCCCTGTGTTTCTCACTAGGCTAATAAGGCTGGTGACAGCCGCTTGTTGTAAGTCCTCTGGTTCCAGGAAAGCCTGGCCCCAGATTTTATAGCGACGGAGTGCTAATAGGGGGCATTCATATAAAATGTGGATGACGCCCTCCTTATCGCCTCCGCACAGTCTGCAGTCTTCTTGTTCTGCAAGTTTCATCTTGAAAAGATGGGCTCTGAGAGCTGTATGACCCATAAGGAGCCCTACTGCTACCCTCAGATCCCCTCTGTGCAGCTCCAGAAGCTTTCTGCTTCTAACTCTTAGTTGCCCCCTCATAAGCAGTTTCGCTTGTCTGCAGGTCGCAACTTTCTCCCAACGCCTTACATGATCTCGCTGGAAATGATCTTTAATAAGAGTTTTTCCCACTGCGAAGGGCATGCCAAGCAGGCCGTGTGAGGGCACACTTTCTGTACCCTCCTTGGCCAGCTTATCTGCCTCTTCATTACCCAGAATCCCATGGTGACCTGGTACCCAGGTTACGGTGACCCGGTTGTTTTTACCCAGTGTGTCCAATGCCTGCATGCATTCCCACACCACCTGTGACTCTGTAGTGGGTTTTTCCAGGGCGTGTATCGTCGCCTGGCTGTCACTGCAGATGAATATTTCCATCTTTTTTGTGTCTCTCGCGTTCAGATACTCTGCACACTTAAGTATGCCCAGCATTTCTGCTTGAAAGACGGTTGAATGATGGCCCAGTGGAAAACTCTCTCTGAAGCCATCTTGCAGACGGTAGATGCCTGCCCCAAAACTTTCATTGAAGCCAGAGCCGTCCGTATACCAGTAGTCCTTTCTTGGTCCTGGTTTAAGTTCCG